TTAAAAAACTCCAATTGAACCGATTCCAATAGGCTAAGGTGAGAGAGGGCCCAGCAGGGGGCCACGTACAGTAATGTTGAAATTACCGAGGCTTATAATTTCAAGGCTGCTTCACACGAGTCGCATCTCGATGTTGCCATTATGGACAGAATAGAGGCAGTGGCTTGGCGAGTCCTAGCCATGGCAGCCTCCGCAGCCCTCAAACCCTTCACCGACGACGACACAACCGTACCAAGATAAGGGTAGGTTGATACCACTTCGATCTGCTGATTCTCGTAATAAAAGTTTCTTGAAGAGACGTCCAAGGGACCGCCCTTCCTACAGGCAACTATTTTAGTTTTTAAACTGTTTACTGTTAAGTCATTATTTGAACAGTACAAAGCCAGAACCTTTAACTTAGCCTCCAAATCAGCAGATGAATAGGCGAAAATTGCGAGATTGTCAGCATAGAGTAACATCATTAAATCCTTAGTTAAGGTGTAATCGATCAGACCTTTATCCCCGAAAAATTTAATTATGTTCGAAATATATAGAATAAAGAGCAGGGGGCTCAAGACCTCTCCCTGCAGGACGCCCTCCGTCACCTGATCGGTTGTCCCACCGGGACAAGAAATAAAAGACTTTGCGGAGTTGTAAAACGCCTTGCGCAGCCCAATCAGTCTCGCGCTCACCCCCAGACTATGAAGCTTCATCCACAGCTTGTCGTGGGGAACAAAGTCGAACGCCCTGCGGAAGTCTACAAAAAGTATAAAGCATTTGGAGCCCTTTTTTCTAGTCTGGATCTGAATAGCCGCCGTGAGGGCGAATATATTGTCCTCCGCAGGACGGCCCCTTCGAAACCTAGCCTGCTCCTCCGGAAGAACATCTCGACTCCGCACCCAACTCTCAAGTCTCACCACAAAAATCTGCATAAACAATTTCGTCATCGCATTGGTAACCGCGATTGCCCGGTAATTTTTTACATTAGCCCTATCCCCTTTTTTGAAGAGCATAAAGAGACTGGACTGCATCCAACCTTGAGGGGGCAGTTGCGATTCTAAAATCACATTGAAAAAATCCAGCAAAAAGTTGAACCACTCTCCCGAGAATAGTTTTAGTGCCTCGGCCGGGATACTATCCGGGCCCATGGCTTTGCCCGGTTTTAGTCTTTTCATGCTCTCCCGCAGCCCTTGAGGCGTGATCTGTCCATCTAATTCCTGATCATATGTCCCGCAAAAAAGCAGAGTCGAATTACATCTCGGCGGGTAAAGCGCCAATAAATAATCACTCCACGCCTGAAGAGAAACCTGAGAGACACCAGCAGGGGAGATCCTATACTTTCTAACCACTGCCCAAAACCCCCTGGCATCCTTTACCCTCGCAAATGACTCAACAACACCGGTTACATAAGCTTTCTTTGCCAGGGTGGTTGTGTGCTTAAAGTTTTTTTTGTTCTCTAAATAATCGCTTAAAAAAGATTTCACATAATTATTCTTGCGCAGTAGGTACAGGGCTCTATTTAGCTTTTTACGGGCCACATGACAGGAAGCATCATACCAGCGCGGTTTAAAAGACATGCAGCCATTATTGCGCCCGTTACCAACGGACACTCCAATTAGGTCGTCCTGCACAAGCCAGTCCCGAAAACGTGAAGAAAAGTCAGCCAGTGAGACAGTTCGCAGATCACTCCCGCAGCACAAGTCATACGGACTCGTCGCACGCATTCGACCCTCCAGCCTTTGGGCACCCACTGCCGACCACAATGATCTATATCTAATACCGGTATTCTGTTGTCGGCAGAGAGGGATGGGTGGGGCAGATTTAAAAAACAAAGCTAGCGAGACAGCCACGGGCAGATGGTCTGATCCTCCGCTGTCCTGGCTGGAAGAAAAGTCATTAACAAAATGCAAGTGATTAGCGGAGATCCAGACCAGATCCACCGTGCTGCGGCCCCTCGCTGTTATATAAGTGTAATGCGCCAGAGAGTCGCCAAGCGAACGCCCATTCAACAGCACAAACTGATTCTCAAACATAAATTCGTACAATTGTTTACCCCTTACATTTGACCGCGGGTCGCACGCAGTCCTAGCTGAATACAGCAGCGAATTCTCAAAAATACCCTCACAGTTACATTCAAGATCAAGTTCACCGGTCCAGGCATTAAAGTCTCCTCCCAATACTATTACACTATTTGGAAATCTATCTATAATCGAATCTAAAACAGCTTGCAAATTAAGAAGGTGCTCTGTAAAATTACAAGTGGGTAGGAAATAAAATGAACCCTGTATTAAAGAAACTGGCAAGGTCTCAATCATCAAGAAAATCCAATGGGAGGAGACCTCAATCGCACTCGGCGATCCGGCTAACGGTACATAAGAAAGCAGACCGCCGCTGCATCTGCCCATTGAAGCATCACGCGAGGCTGGTGAGACGAAGGCTGCCATGTCCTGAAGAGATGAAGTCGAGGCAGGAGACGACGCAAGCCAGGTCTCGGAAAAGTTTGTAATGGTATTACTAGCGTGCGTCCGCTCCACCGACAAATTCTGAGGGCCGTGGATATTCCAGAAGATCAGGCGAAGTTCGCCGTGCGAAGGGCCCACCACAGTAGCTGTTGCTGATGGGTCACAACAGTGAACTGACGCCTCGATATCATTGTCACAGCTAGATGAGTCAAAACCGAAAGACCCGGCACCCACGTAGCTGGGTGCGAGGTCAGCCTCGTTTTTTGAAAAGTCCATAGCAGTGTTGATCACAGTCGGCTGAATAACATTTGACGATCGTTGCTCAGTTTCTTTGATAAAGGAATTGTGTGCTTCAGACCATCCAAACCACTCCTCCGAGACTCGCACCCTCTGGAATTTACGCAGCACTTTCTTGTTGTCCACCTTGGCACGTCGAATCAGCTCCCTTGCGTGAAAGTCGATCTTCCTTTCCCTCTCCGTCAAATCCGAGTCGATGTAGACGCCCCTGCTGGCCAATACCTTTTTTGTTTTTCATGATGGAGTTTTTGGCTTTTGATGTTAATAGCTCAACGAGAATAGTCAGTGGCTCTTTTTTTATCACATAGGCAGCGTCAACAACGTCATTGAGCTGAAACTCCGATTGTAAAAAATTCTCAACAGCCTCTAGAACGCCATCATTTATTTTAAGTCCTCTTATTTTTATATTTTTTTTTCGCAGGGCCTTGTTGCACTTCTCTAACTCCTCCGTTAGAGCTTTAATTTGCTTATCTTTTTCGTCGACTAACACTTTTAAGTTAGTCATTTCCTCCCTAACCTCCTCCCTCAAGGAGGAAATGGCCGACATGCTCTCCACGTGAGCGGAATCGATCTTGGCTGATAAAGTGGTGATAATGGATTGTTGCAAGACTGCAAATTGAGCTTCCATTGTTGTGGGCTGCAACTCCGTAGCGGGCTCTAGACGATTTACGGTAGACGATCCCGCGCAGTGCTTTTTAAAATCAATTTGATCGAAATCAGACGATTCCGGAGATAGCGGGCGTTTGGAAACCTCGAAGTAATCAGTAATCGTGTGCTAGGACGAGCCTCTATACATTAGCCATCTTGACGCTGTCAAGGGGCGGCTTTGCGCAACGGGACGCGGTTGGGATGGGGCAGGAGACTCAGCCTTAGCGTCAGTCGAACGTGTTGGCAAGTTCTCGGAGAGAGGGGCGGGTACTCTAGACTCCTCAGTTTGCATGGGACAGGCTTGTCTCCTGAGAGGTGCTGCCACCGCCGAAGGCAACTAAAAGCAGCGCTGAGTTAAAAGCCAGAAATTACAATTACCAGACGACATCAGCAGGCGCATGCGCTGCGCCCAGTCCCGAAACGAAGTCGAAGTTCCCCAAGCACTCAACCGCCAAATCACTGAAACCGCTCACGCTTGCCTTGTCCAAATTTAACTACAATTTCTGCACCCACAAAACATAAAAATTTTTGCCTATGCTTTAAAAACCATTCCGGAGTCACGAGCCCACAGACCGGGCACCAAAAGCACGGGAGCACCAGGCTCCGAGACAAATATCCTGCAGCACTCAGCTCAGCACAATTCTAGGTTAGAAAGCTCTTGAATAATTTTCGCGACGACTCCGGGCGCTCCACAGAGCTTCACAGGCTAAATTTAAAGTTGAGCACTCGCGCGAACTAACAGAAAAATATAAAGCAGACAAATGTCAATCTCGGACAGTAATCGCTACAAAAATTAAATCGGCAGGAGAGCCACACAGAAACGTGGCAATCACAGTCGGCACCGGATGTGCACTCCTAAGATAATATACAATACACAGTTACTATATTACAGCTTATAACAGCATGTAGCTTTAGAAAATCAAATTCACGGAATCTCCCAATGACACGGTCTATGTGAATTCGTAAGCTAGCAATATGTTTATTTTCCAAAATCTCAGATTTTGTAGATTTATGTACGGACGATACGCTTGGTGGTTTTATTAATTCACAATGTTTTTCTGCTAATAAAGACTTGATGCTTTTAAAACCTCTGTCCGCCATAACAGCACATTTTTGGGAGAGTTTATCTAGTATGCAACACTTCTCAAACAATAATGCATTTGATATTCTACTCTCGTATCCACTAGAAACGAAATTGGGTAAGCCATCTGGCTCTCAAGATATCAAATACTTATTCATCGTGTTACATTTTTTGTATTCGGACCAAGTCAAGACTTGATTTACAGATTCACTCGGTTTTCGAATTATATTTCTAGAGCATCTACTATGGACTGGACATGACTGTATGAGTTTCGGAAAGTAATAGGCAAAGTTTTTTTCACTAAGTCGAGATTTGGAAAGAAGATCAAAGTTTTTAGTAAATGACTGAGTATTCGAACTGTTTTTCTGAAAACTACTTGTATTACTAAAATTCATACAAAATTGTTCGGCCAATCGTATTCACACGTACCAGGTATGTAAATATGAAACCGGAATTTTTTAATAGAAAATACACGTTTATTGCATGGAAATGATAAAAAATATTTTATTCGAAGTATTGCCCATCGCTAGCTATATATTTTTCCCACCTGTCTGACAATTTGTGGATGCCACACCAAAAAAATTGTTGCTCTTTTGAGCCAAACCAGTCATCTAGCCATTTTCGTACATCTTCGTAAGAAGTGAAGCGCTGCTGAGCAAGTGCGTGTCCCATCGATGCAAATAAGTAGTAATCGGACGGAGCCAAGTCCGGTGAGTAAGCAGCACGCGAAAGTATTTCCCAACCAAACGCCTCAATCGTTTCCTTAACCAGTTTTGCTGTGTGTGATGGTGCATTATCATGAAGCAAAATCACTTTGTGTTGCCTTTTTTGATATTCCGATCGTTTTTCACGCAAAGCTTGATTAGAATTAATCATTTGTTGTCGGTAGCGTTCAGTATTAACAGTTTCGCCAGGTTTCAGCAGCTCATAATAGAGATCACACCATTCTGACCACCAAACACAGAGCATTGTCTTCCGTCCATAGCGATTTGGCCTTGCAATCGATGTCGATGGTTCGCCTGGAGTTACACATGATCTTTTACGCTTAGGATTCCCAAAATATATCCACTTTTCATCGCCAGTCACAATTCGATGGAGAAATGACTTTCTTTTGTACCTGGCGAGCAGCATTTCGCAAGTGGTTTTTCGGTTTTCCTGCTGTCTTTCATTCAGTTCATGTGGAACCCATTTTCCCATTTTCTGAATCTTTCCCATGGATTTCAAACGTATGGATTTCAAACGTATGGCTTCTCGTGTCACATTCAATTGATCCGCGAGTTGTTGTTGAGTTTGAGCGTCATCCTCATCCAACAATGCTTGCAATTCGCTGTCTTCAAACTTTTTCGGTGGTTTTCCACGTTCTTCGTTTCTCACGTCAAAATCGCCACTTTTGAATTTTTAAACCACTCAAAGCACTGTGATTTACCAAGAGCATGCTCACCGTAAGCTTCGACAAGCATTCAATGCGATTCTGCAGCAGTTTTCTTCAAATGATAACAGAAAATCAATGCTGTCCGCAAATCGTAGTTTCCAGGCACAAAATTCGACATGTTCAACGCTATTACAAATTATACTGTTGTATGAAACTTGTATTGTTGTGAGTTGAAAATCTTTGTCAGATGTCAGAACAAGGAAATGGCGTTCTGACGCGGTTTGACGGCAACTACATTGACAGCTATGGCCATTTATTGGTTAATTCCGGTTTCACATTTACATGCCTGTTATCTTGTCTTCTGATTTTCATTAAGCACAATTATATATTTTGGATACTTATATTACTTTTTGTGCTCAAAACGTGCAGCAGTGAATTCTATTCGTTTGAAATCCCTAGGTACGCTTTTATGTTAGTACTAATGAGATAATTTTTTACATTTAATATATTGGCTCTATCTTTTCTATTTGGGCTAATAAAATCATTGAGACTCGTTTCATCCGTAAGCACATAATAATCATGAGAACTATTATACTTATATCTATTGACGTGGTCGCAGTATTTGCCGATATGAAATCATTTCCACAGGTCGTCTTATAATTTAGAAGTAATCCCTGCTGCAAATTTCCATTGGTTTTTTCATGGGTTCCTATAGATGACTATAAGATTCTATAGGAGCTTGTGTAGTTACCTATAGGTATACGTAGGACATCCATAGGAATGCAATAAGTTAGTATAGGTACCCACAGGAATGTGGACAGCTGCTCCATGAGAACTAAAAGGATGTATAGGATACCAGTTTGACGTATAGTAACATGTAGGCGTACGTAAGACAGTGGAGAGGTACCCCATGGAGACTGAAAGTGTCTGTAGGCTACCATAGGATAATGATGTATACACATTTCTGTCCTATATGCATCCACATGTTCCTACACGTCAAGATGCAGTATCCTATAGGCCTTTAATTTCCATAGGTATCTCTTCCGCATTCCTATGGGTACCTATACTAACTTGAGAGAATAATATTCTATAGAAATAATTAAAAATAGTTTAAACTGAATATAATTCCACATTATGAATTTAATAGGGTGTTTTTATATATATTTTAAGTTAATATTCTTATGGCTTCCACGGTTTCTTTCTATATAAAGATTATGTGTTTGGCGGATTTACTCCGTGTCTAGATCCATTCTTGAAGTTCCAACGTTTCGTACTAAACTTCCTATGTCATTCTATATATACATGCTATGTAAATCCTATAGGTATCTATTGTAAGAAATTTAGAGGAAATAGGCACAACAGCTATCAGCTATCAGTCAGGGCTGTGTGGCTCAGTGACAGAACGGAAGTCTACCAATTCAGAGGAAAGACCAGGCCTGGGTTCGAGACGAGGAACGCTCTGATATTTTTCTCTGTTGTCATCAATTGTTTACACTGTAAAAGCTCCTACAGAGGCTGTGTTCCAAAATTTACTGTCAGCACTGAAAATCTATAGTGCACATAATGTAAACTATAGACTTTCAGTACTGGCAGCAAATTTTGGAACAGAGCCAAAATTTTATAGTCCTCTATAGAAACCCATGAAAAAACTCATGGGAATTTAAGGCAAGATAGGAGCCTTCTCCCATGGGGACCTGTCGAATTTACCATGGGTACCTATGGTTAGGCAAATCCATAGGAAAATTTCCCATGGGAATTTGCAGCAGGGATAGGTTTTATCGAAGAAGTTGCAAAATTTGCATAAATAGGTAATTTAATTGAAGAAGAACATTTATTGACAGTCGATACTGAAATGTTGCATGTTGTATAAACACTTTGATAATGTGGTCGGATTTTAATCTGTATGTCAACACTGTGCTGTATCATGGAAGCTTGTGTTCCGAATCCATAAATCCAACTCTTCTGATGTCTCTTATATTCGCAATCTCATCCACAGTAAAAGTTTGTTCAGTTCGAGTTTGAAAACGAGTTCATTTATCGCAGGCAGGGTTGGGTAAATTAACTTTTCTTTAACTATGTTAAATTAAAGTTAACGACCTTTTTTTTGTTTGTGAAGGAGGAGAAAAATCTTCACAAAGCAATCATCCGAGGTGCTCCCGAAGGGGAATCTAACCGGGTGATAGGAAGACGCCCAGAGGCCGGTCCCCTGGGTATGCAGGATTCGATGAGTCCGCGTCTCTCCCATAGAGAGAAACAGCAGACATCATCGTCTACCCATTAAAGAACTTTCCCTATAACCGCACTACCGCACGACCAGTTCGGTGCACCCCGGAACCGCCTACCCGGCATTTCATCAGGGTGCACCCATGTCACAGAGCATTAGCTCCCACCTCACAAGTTCGGTGTACAGTCATGAAAGAACAATAGTGAACCTAACCCTACCCTAAAATTGGAACTAATCTAACTATTAATATACACCCCTTAGCTATCAAACCCGAAAGGATAAGAGTAGGGACCAATCGCCGCC